GTATTTGAAAGAATATTCTCACCATCAGTACTGCTGATTTTTATTGTTGTTATTGACTTTGGCATAGGCGAGAGTAGACACAGGCAAAGAATATACTAGTAAATGGTGGATTGGAAGAAATAGATAATTCTTACCCCAAATAGTGCACACACATTCCCTCTCTGTCATTCGTGTGTGCACTCTAGTTCTGTCTTTTGAATCTCACTGCAAGTTCAAACAGCAAAATGAAAAGGTTGTACACTTCCTGGGAGACAGAATGCTGCCACAGAGACTGTCTGGTTTAGAGAGAGAGCAGTGATGCCCCGTCAGCATTTCCAGGCAGCCCTGCGGGGATGAATGTGAATTCCTATTCGATAATCCAAGGGCCATTCTGATCTTCCTGCCTCAACTGACTTCTTGCCTCCTCATCCTTCCTCTTGTAACATTTTCTCTCTTTTTAAAATTGTGGTGAAATATACATAACAGCCCTAGCCTGTTTGGGTTAATGAATAGAGCGCCAGCCTGCAGACTGAAGGGTCCCAGATTCAATTCTGGCCAAGGGCACATGCCTGGGTTGCAGGCTTGATCCCCAGTAGGGGGCGTGCAGGAGGCAGCCAATCAATGATTCTCTCTCATCATTGATGTTTTTATCTCTTTCTCCCTCTCCCTTCCTCTCTAAAAACCAATAAACTATATTTTAAAAAGAAATATACATAACATAAAATATATCACTTTAACCATTTTTTAAATGTACAGTTTAGTGGCATTATATACTGTCACACTGTTGTGCAAGCATCACCACCATCCATTTCCAGAACTTTTTACATCTTCCCAAGCCAAAACTCTCTACCTATTAAGCAGTAATTCCTAAGCCTGCTTCCCACCACCTTTGTCAACTACCACTCTTCTTTCAGTCACTATGAATTTGATTGCTCGAGATACTTCATAGTAGTGGGATCGTGCAGTATTGCTCATTGTGACTGGCTTATTTCACTTAGGATGATGTCTTCGGGGTTCATTCCTGTTGTAGCAGGTGTTAGAATTTCATTTCTCTAAAGGCTAAATGATATCCCATTGTATGCACACACCACATTTTTTTTTTACTTGTTCATCTGCCAATGGACATTTTGGATTATTTCCACCTTTTGGCTATTTTGAATAATGTTGCTATAAACACTGGTGTGCAAATATCTGTTTGAGTACATTTTCTTCTTTTTATTCTGGTAAAGATGATAAAATGTTAGACTGGATCAGGGTCTTCACTGTGAATTCTTCAGTAGCAGTAAAATTGATTATGCTATGCATTTTCCTTTTATTTATTGTGGTAAAAAACAAAACATAGAATTTACCATTTAAACCATTGTTAGGTGTGCAGTGGTGAACAACAATGGGTACAGAGTTTCAGTACTGCAAGATGATGGGTTTGATTACTCTAGGGACCTCATATAAGTGGGATGATACAGTATCTGTCCTTTTGTGAGTGGCTGATTTCACTTGGCATGATGTCCTCCAGATTCATCCATGTTTTAGTATATGGCAGGTTTTCCCTTTCTAAGGCTGAACAACTTTCCATTGTATATACCCCATTTTTTAAAATGTATTCATCTGCCAGTGGACATTTGAGCTATTGTGAATAATGCTGCAGTGACTGTGGGTGCGCAGATATCTCTTGGAGAAGTGGAATTACTGGATCATATGTTAATTCTATGTTTAACTTTTTGAGAAACCTCCATACTGTTTGCCATCCCCGCACTGTTGGTGGGAGTGTAAAATTTTACATTCCCACCAACAGTGCACAAGGCTTCCAATTTCTCCACAACTTCATCAACACTTGTTATTTTTCTATTTTAATTTTTGTAACAGTGGCCATCCTGATGTGTGTGGGGTGATAAATCATAGTGATTTTGATTTGTAATGAAGTTTCTTAAAGCAGCTTTAAAGAGCATATTAAAAGCAAACAGACGGACTGAGGTAATAGTTTAGGATGGAGAGAAGCTTGGGAAACCGTGGGGTTCCCAGAGGAGTTGTTTGATCTCCTCTGACAGTTCTCTGTGTGCTGGGAAGAGTGTGCTGTCCTTTGCGCTGCTGTCTCCTAGGCCTGGAGGTCCAGTTTGGCCTCAGTGGTGTGGCCTGGCCGACAGTCCGTCGCCCTCTCATCCTTTTGGAGTCCTGGGTGGTTAGTAAGCATTTTCTCAGAGCAAGTGACTCAGAATTAAATGTAGCTCCAGATACAGAGTTATTTCAAAGAACAACGATGCCTCACTCTTTTTTTAACCATTTCTATGGACTACTTCTATGTGGATTAAAAAAATATCAATGCTGAGCTAAAGTCAGCATTCCTTCTTTGATTCACTCAGCGGCATTAAGGAAATATCCAGGACAATTCTGTCCAATAGAAATATAATGCAAGCTGTATATTTGATGTGACATATTTTCTAGTAGCCATGTTAAAAAAAATAAGAAGGAAAACAGGTGACGTTAATTTTAACAATACATTTCATTGAACCTGACATACCTAAAACATTGTCATTTCAATACGTAATGAATATGAAAAATTGAGATAGTCTACTTTATGTTTCACACTAAGTCTTGGTAATCTGCTGCTCATTTTAAACTCAGAGCCCTTCTCAATTTGGATTGGCCACATTTCAAGCGCTCGAGAGCCACGTGTTTCTAGTGGCCAGCTTACTAGACAGAACAGACCTAGCATACCGAGCCAGGGATATCTGAAGCCCAGAAAAGGCCAGCCCTCAGCTCTGCCTCGTGGGCAAGATGTATCAGTAAAGCACTGATAATGGTGTCCAGAGCTTGTGGAAGAGATGGGCACAGTGGTACCGAGCCCAGAATTGGGGCTCCCAAGCCCAGAATTGGGTTGGTCTGCCACCCCTAGACCTCATTCCTTTGAACTAGTCTCCTGTGGGGCGGGCGCTGAGCTGGAGTTTGGCATGGGCCCCAGCTCATCAGACATTAACTTTTTGCCTCCTGTGTTAAGAGAGCCGCTGCCAAGTTTACTTTTAATTATAAGCTCTGCTCTGGCCCTGGGTCTGCGAGCAGGGATTTCAGCACCACAACCTCACTGCTCTCCCGCCGGCCTTTCATTCCCACAGGCGGAATCCCTCCCCTCTCTGGGCACTGCTGGCCTGCACTCCACCTCAGTCCTTTGAGCTGCTCCCCAGGAGAAGGTCAAAAGTGTGGTGCTAAGAGAAGGACTTCATCTGAACACCCTTCCCCTCACCTCTGGGAAGCGACGCCAACAGCTCTAGTTGTTGAGGGGAAGGTCATGTCCTTGGACGGGCTCCCCTGAATCCACCCTGTGGCCTCCCTGACCACCCCCATGCCCAGGTCCTCAGGGAGCTCCAGAGGCACCGGCTCTGGAGGCCCTGCAGCCAGACAAGCCTGTGCGGCTCCCCAGCTCCCGCGTGGGGAAGGAAGGGTGGCCAAGACGTGTTTACAGAGAGCCGGCCAGGAAGCGCAAGGGAAGAGGAGGAGCTGTTTCCACTTATCCTCCCACCTCCTTTTGGCTTTCTCTCCTGGCATTGCCGACGGCCAGAAAAGGGATGGGAATTTGGCAAAGTGAAAGTATATCATTGTATTCCCCCCGCCCCCCCCTGCCCCCAGCCCTCCATCTCATCTCCCTCCTACGGAAGCCAGGCTGGACTTTTTTCTACCCAGTTTACTTAACACTCAAGAGACTCGAAATTCCTTTCCTGCTGCTGGTGTGGAAGAGGCTTGGAAATAGGTTCCTTTCCAGGAGATGAGTGATATGGCAGAAAGACAAGGTCAGATGAGGCCAACGGCCGGGAGCCAGAGTCTTACCAAACTCTCACAGGCAGCACTGTGACGGCCGGACTTGCTATGCTGATGGAGAAGGGGTGGCCTTGGGCTCTACCCTGTCTGGAGTCTTCTATGATAGGTGCAGTTAAGGGAGATGAGGGACTTTGGGGGAGGGGGCAGGATGAGTCTGGCCCTTCCGAAAACTGGGCTAGTGTATGTTGACATGTTAAAAGACAGAACGATTAATATTGCCAGCCTACTGTAAGGCTCTATTTCTTTTAATCATATTTTAAACTTTACACTATTAACATAAATTTCTTTGGGACTTGTTTATACCTTGCACCCATAGGAATCAGATCCCCAGTGTAAGGATTACAAGAATCTCAATAATTACCTAATTTAACAAGGAGGCCAAAGTAAAATATTTCTTCTCCCAGGAAAATAAAGTAAATGAAAGCAGATCAACTGCTCTTCTCATTATTCCAAACTCACAAATCTGCTAAGACTCAAAGTTAACTTTATGATGTACTTTAGCTGAGAGTATTTTTATGAACAAGAACTGTTAACATCGAGAAGTTAGTTCCAGGAAATGAAAAGATTAAGACAAAGGAAAAGGTCACACGATTTGAATGTCACACATGCATACTTACTCGGTACTGGAATAATGACAGAGAATCCTTTTGACTGCTGTGACCTATGGTCCTATGCATTTCGGTACCAACAATATTTTTTTTTCTTTTTTTTCTTTTTTTTTTTTTTTTTTAGCTTCATGAGATGTTTGAGTGATAGTTTGAGTCCCTTCAGCAGGTCAACGGACCAGCCTGGAAGCTAGCTGGAGTTATAACACAGGCTGTGGTCACACACCACGAGTGACAAGCCAGGCCAGCAAGACTGTGGGCTCTGGGTTTGAATCCTGACTCCACCACTAATTAGCCCTGTGTTAGTTACTCAGCCTCTCTGAACCTCATTAATTTGCTGTAAAAATTAGAATTATAAATTTATATTTATGGAGCTTACCCATACAAAGATGGCTCATTTAAAGTGCTTAGTTCATAGTTCCTGACAAATATTAAATTAGGAGGAAATATTGATTGCTTTTAATACTTAAACGGAAAATGCCAAGTTTAACTGGCAATATATAGCTGCCCTTGTTTATTTCTACCAGTAGCAGAGTAATACATTGTTTGTTTGACACTTGCTTGGCCTTTTTGAAAAAGTCTTTAATTATGTATTATTTTTCTTTGCAGCCTTGCAGGTGTGTGGTGTGTATGTGTAGGAGAAGCCAGTAATTACCCCTTGCTGATGGAGCTGACCAAACACAGTCTTTCCCATGGCAACAGAAAACATAAAAAAATAAAATTTAAAAAATTGGAGGTTACATAATTGCCGTCCCTGGAGGAGGAGGAATGTGGGGATCATGGAGTTTCTTGTGGCTTTTGGTTGAAGGTGTTGGTGAAGATACAGAGGTCCTGCTGAGTAGATGAACAGGATGCTGTTGCTTGCTTTGAAGTGAGTAAACTGGTCAAAAGTACAAGTGGGAGGGGAAGTTGAGGTTTAATGAAGGGGGTCATTATTAATGTTTCCATGGTTTTAGCAGTTTAAAAGTTGGGAGTTTAGGTGAGGCTGTTGGTTGAGGGGAAAATAGCCCACAGACGTTCAGGCAGGGTCAAGTTCAGTCTTTTAGTCTTCATTTTAATCTGAAAATAGGGAGTCAAGGCTTTTGAATAACATAGCAAAGGGATTGCTTCATAATTCCAACAGCGAATGCTAATTATTGCATGTCCACAATGTCACAAGATTCAGAAAGCAACACCATTCTTCTCAAATCCCAATTATCCGAAGATTTTTTTTGGGGGGGAGGAGAAATAATATTACTGGTTTGGATTACTATTTCTGCTTTCAAAAGGATTTATATTAACTTTCCCAGAGCCTACATGGAACCCAAAACATTAACTTTCTTTTTTATTGATTTCAGAGAGGAAGAGAGAGGGAGAGAGAGAATAAAAAACAACAATGATGAGAGAGAATCATTGATTGACTGCCTCCTGCATGTCCCCCACTGGGGATCTAGCCTGCAACTTGGGCATGTGCCCTGATCTGGCATAGCAGCCTCCTGGTTCCTAGGTTGATGTTCAACCACTGAGCCACACCGGCAGGGCCAAAACATTCACTTTCAATGCAGAGGTGGTGTCTTTCCCCAACTTCCATAAATTGATCTTGAATCCATTGCCTTTATCTTTCTTGTATAAGGAATAACACAGGAGGCTTCATTTATTTGATTAGAAGATAGTATTGCCTTTGCCATTGGGGATTTGGCCCTCTTGATTCTAGAACAGGGTTGGAAAAAACTATTAACCTCCACCTACCCCCCACCATGTATGTTAAAGTAAGCTCATGTTTTGTTTTATTTCTAAACATTAGGTTATTTTCCCCTCCAAAGACCCAAGGGATATATAAAGCTAACTCTACATTTTCAGTAATAATTTTAGGGTAGAAAGAACATGGAGAATTGAAATCTATAAACTAAAACCCAATATTTAAAAACCTCTTTTACTTCTCTGCTTTTAAATGTCAGCAAAGGATGGGAGAGTGAGAGGGTTAAGATATTAATCTTTAGTGAGTGCCCATTGTTTGGGAAACTTGGAGTTAGAATCTTTGGATTAGAAGTTTCAGGCCCAAGAATTGCTATTGATAAGGCAAATATAATTAAAAGCAAGATTCATATTCACATCCATATAATTTTTGTTCACCTTTTCCCATCCATAATAATCACTTGGGGGATATTTACCTAGTTCTGACCTGGGGGAATAAATGAATTTCTCTCTCTCTCTCTCTCTCTCTCTCTCTCTCTCTCTCTCTCTCTCTCTCTCTCTCTCCTCTATCTCTCAATCCTGTATCATCAGTTTCAGTCTTCATAAGTTGTAGGAATGTCTTTCTTCCCAATATTGGCCTTTTTTACATTGGTAGTCTAGGGATCAAATTTAGAACTCTGGAGGGAGAAGAAGAGCAGTGGCGGTTTTCTTTAGCCTGTGAGCTCAGGGCTTTTGCAATATCTCCAAGTTTCTGTTCGACGTGGCTCTACCTGGAACGTAGATAAAGAACATCTATCATTAACTTCCATCACCCTTGCCTTATTCTAAGCAACTCTTTTCTAATCACGTTGCCTAATTTCTCCACCCCACCCCCCTTCTCTTCATTGAAGAGTGGGATGAACATCTTATTGCTCTCTCAACCGGTTTTCATTCAGAGTATTGGAGAGTTGCCCTTTCAGTGTGTGTGTTGGTGGTGCAGTTCACATGGCCTCTCCCTGCAGGCTGCACACTCTACTGCCTCAGCCAGTACCCTCAGCTCTCCTAGGGCTTGTCTCTAGCTTAGTCCCAAGCACACACTCTGTGGTACCAGGTATCCTTATGAATTCTGAAAACAAGTTATTTACATCCAACCACGAAAAAGAGGAGAATTGGTAGTCTGATTAAAAATGGTAAACATAGGATTAGGGATATTACACTGCATTCCAGTAATGTAATAAAAAGAAATGGAATCAAGATTGGGAATCTGGTCTTGGCTTTGCCAGTAACTAGAATTGTAAAGATGATAAAGTTACTTGATTTTAATGGACCTCATATCCAAATATAAAATTATTTTATATTTCAATTTAGTATGAAATAAGATTTTAGACCAAATTATCATTAAGACTTCTCTCAATGTTATGATTCTGTTTTTAAGTTCAGTACTTCTGATTATAGTTTACCTTATTAAGGATTACAATGTTTGTATTTTATATAACCTGTTATTCAAGATTGGTCATCACCATTAACATACTCAACACTCAAAGTACACAGGAGATAAAATTAAAAAAGTTTCCTATGAATCCAACTAGTCTGCTCTACCCAGTGAGGGGAGACTGTTCAAGGACAGTTTTCTCTTAAAAGCAACAGAAGAAACTGCGGAGTAAAGAAGACATAGTGTCATATCGTTTATTGGGTCTTCAGAAAGGAAACTCTATATAATTAAAAAATCTGAAAAGCTGAGTTTAAGACTAGATATTCCTCTGGGAATCACTTCTATGGAATCTTTACAAATAGAATCATCAAATCAGAATTTATTTACATATTCCCCAAAAATAATAAGAGGATTTTAATTGCCCTTCAAAAATCTGAGTCTTAACTTTAGCCTATGCAGATGCTTCTCTTTAAAATAAACCTCTGTTAATAGTTTATGGATCTTTTCAGAAGAAAGTTAGAAAAATTATCTAGGTGCTTAGGAAAGCCAGCAAAGCTACAGTTGGAAGATAGAAATGTTCCCTTAGAAAGTTTTATATCTGTTCCTCAGAAAGATGCATGAACAATGAACCAGCCTGTTCTTGTCTTGTTTTAAAGTAAACAGATTTGTAGACTTGTAGTTGGCTCCTGATGAACCACTCATGGAGCCATTTAAGGCATGAGCTTTGCATTGGTATTGAACCAACTGAATAAAAGCTGTTTATAACCTTGTTATACCTTTCCAACATAAACAGTATCTCTTACATAAATCACTTTTATACTAGTTTATACATAACATCATGTGGGAACTTTTTCTCTTACTTTTTGTTTGATCTGGACTGCAAGCTAGGCATCCCTGTCCCCTGACAGTGGTGTTCTAGGTTATCTTTTACATTCTGAAGTGGCATAAGCCAGAGCTATCTATGTTACACTTGTCAAGGGATAGCACTTATTACTCTATTCTAATTAGGGCTCACTGTCAGTGAGTATGTATTTTAAAGCTGTTTCAATTTTCTACCTATGCATACAAGCGTAGCCTTGAAGTGAATGCTTGTATTACACATTCATTTATATCTTACCCTTACCTGTCACTGCTCTCCACCTGCAATAGTATGTTTCTATAGAGGATCTCATGGAGCTTTGTTGTCCATGAATATATTTTCTCTTGACTCTATCTAAAAGGATAAGAAATGCTAAGCATTTTTTACAAGAATATTAAATGTATAAGAATCAGTATGACTATATTTTATTTATCTTTGGTTCTCTCTCTCTCTTTTTAAATAGACTTTATTTTTAGAGCAGCTTTAGGTTCACACAAAATTGAGAGGAAAATACAGATAATTTTCATAAACCTAGTGCCACCACATTTTTTTTTGCATGCTTATTATATATCTCCTTTGATGAGGGTCTGTTAAGGTCTTCGGCCCATTTTTAATTGGGGTTTTTGTTGTCTTATTGTTGAGTTTTAAGGGTTTTTTTGTACATTATGGATCTACAAAGTCCTTTATTAGGTATATGTTTTGCAAATATTTTCTTTTGATAGTATTTTTTGCATGGCAGAAATTTTTAATTTTAATGAAGTCAAACTTATTGATTATTTCTTTCATGGATTTTGCCTTTGGCATTGTATCTAAAAAGTTGTTGCCAAAACAAATTCACCTAGATTTTATCCTGTTATCTTCTAGGGGTTTTATAGTTTTGTGTTTTTCATTTAGGTATGTGATCCATTTTGAGTTAATTTTGTGAAGGCCAGTGTCTAAATTAATTTTTTTTGCATGTGGGTGACATGCAATTGTTCCAGCACCATTTGTTGAAAAGACTGTCTAGGCTTCATTACATTGCCTTGCCTTTTTGTCAAGGATAAGTTGGCTATATTTATGTGGTCTTTTTCTGGGTTGTCCATTCTGTTCCACTGTTCTCTTTGTCTTTCACCAATAGCAGATTGTCATAAGTCTTGAAGTTGGGCAGTGTTAGGCCTCCAACTTTGTCCTTTTCCTTAAAATTGTAACGATTCTGGGTTATTTCATTTTTTTAAATGCATTTAGCAGATTTCATAAAAGCTGCCTTGGATTTTCACAATACAGGAAACTGTTTTTTGGAGACATGATTCAGATATAGGAGACAATCATGATAAATTTGATATATCCTAGAAATTTGGAAGTTGGAAAGAGCGACTTGTTGCCCAGTCTTTCATTGAACAGTGTACCTGAACCTGTTGGTCAAGAAGATCATCAGTTGATCAGAACGCATTGTTAGAGGAGGAAAGGTTTCATTTCTTTTCTTAAAATGTTATCTGACTGTAACAATAACCCAGTCTTCTTCAACAGGTCATTGTCAGTACACAATTTGAGTGGCTCCTTACACCTACTGAATTAAAAGCAAACACTCAGTGACTACCACTGGTTGACTTCACTCTGCCTTTCTAGTAGTGGGCTTCACAGCTCTCCTTTGTGAACACACATTCTCAGATGAGCCATCGTTGATGAGGCGATGGACATGCTGAATTTAGAAAACCCTGGACTCAAATCCCTATGCTGCACTTATTAGCTTTGTGAACTTTGTCGAGTTACATCACCACCTGAATCTTAGTCTTCTAAAGGCTAAGATAAATAAATACATAAATTGACTCTTGTTTTTATCTGTGATACCACGTAGTTAAATATCATGTAGGGCCATAAATTTAGATCCATTCCCTAAACTATTTATTGTAGCTAAATTGGATTTGCAATCTACGAATATAAGATATTT